CTTAATCCGTTGTCTATGATCCTTTGCAAGGACCTGATTCAGGCAAGTGTGATCTTGGCCCCATTTACGGACCACCTAATTAGCTCCCTTCTTGGGCTTGATTGCCTTCATATACAAGGGACAATCGTCAGCATTGTTTCGACACTTCATCACAAATCTTGACCCGTCGCTTTTTTCGACTATGGAGCCAAATTCCTGTTGCACAAATAATGGATCTCCTAATTTCCAACCTCCGAGCAAATCATTGTTCCCAAAGAGGATCTCCAACTCGTCATTAGGGGCGCCCAATTAATGAATGAATAATGCTGGCTTTCATTCCAAAATGGCTCTACCTCAGTCCCTGCATCTAAAACATGATTATTATTGTCAGAAGCAATACTAACGCAAATATTAAATGTTTAATACAAATTGAAATTTAATAACTTACCACTACTAACTAGGTCAACATGAAGTGGTGACATAGTAGGGGTACCCTGGCTTACCACATTCGTGTCAGCATCAAAATTACCCTCCTCGTCAGTATTTGACAAATCACCTTATGGAATAGCACTTTCAGGTTCTCCGTCGTCTTCGTTGTCCATATACTCCTCCTCCGCATCCTCCTCACCATCATCCAATGTTATTTAACTTAATACCTGAGAAGGTGCAAGTAAACGTACAACTGTATCTTCTTTACCAAAACACTATGGAGTGCTTGTATGCGTCGGTAAAGATGAAGACTGACCAACATCAACTTCAACATATATCTCAATTAATTTTAATACTTTTCAGTCAATAAATGCATCTGTGACGAACTCCACATCTTCTTCATCATTGATATCGTTACCAATGTAGTATATTGTATCCATATCAACTACAGTCTCTAATATGGCTATCATGCGATGAATGAATTGGCTACCTTGTAGCCCCAATTTTTGATGAATTCTCTCCTTTAGTTCATTGCATGTAGTGCTTACTTTGATTTTCATTGCTTTTGTTTTTCCTTCAAATCGGACACCATTGGGACCTTCAAATTGCCTCCCATTATGGTAAATAACTACAGTAATCATGTTTGAACTTGAGCTCATCTTTCACACGAAAATTGGGTCTAGGGTTTGGGTTTGGATTTGGTTCGGATTTTTTAGATAAAATAGGAATATGTAGGTGTAATGTCAATGATTTCACAAAATTAAGCCTTTTGAGATGGTGGGATGAAATATAATTTTGATGGCTGAGAATAGAGATGATAAAAGAGAGAGATTTGGGGGTACAAAACGTATAAATGATAAAAGAGGTTGAAACCCACTAATATTGAGGTTTCTGGCCAACAAATACTCGGGAAACGGGATGTGTACCCGGGTAAATAACTGCGTACCCGGGGATTTGGGTGGTCTACCCAGGTGTAAACTCAAGTTACATAAGAACAATTATGTTCCGCGAAATATACCCAGGAAATTGAGTCACTACCCAGTTAGCTACATGGTCAACGATTAAACAAGGGTAGATTAATGTTATGTTTGTTAAAAAGATTAAATTTTTCGAATAGTTTATAAGCGGGGCAAGATGATAATTTGTTAGTAATTAAAGGATATAATGATCAACAAGCCATATTGTTTTGCCTCACTTATACTACTTAATAACTTTTTGTATAAGGGACGGATCCAATAAATTGCAGCGTCAGAAACCCATGGATCAATGGTTAAAATAAATGTAAAACTTTTTTATTTTTACACAAAAATATATATAATATTTCATTACACATTCACAACTGTATATATAATACTCGATATTATTTATATTTTAAAAGTATATCACACATTAAAGTAAAGTGATGTAATAAAATATTGTTCTTTTTTAAATTTGTGTGAAAAATTATAAATTTGATTTACTTCATGAAAACTTCCAGTTCAGCCATTAAGTTAAAAAAATAAGTAATAACAAAAACTTTATTCTATTTAATGTAAAAGACTTCAATTCAAAGTGAGGAGTTGAGGAGTGACTAAACATTTACAAATGCAACTTAAGAACTATTTATGATTTTATTCTTACATATATATATGTATATATATATATATATATATATATACTAAATAATAATTATATTTTAATAAAAATAAAATTGTGATCAAATGAAGATTTTAAAATTTAAATTATTATACTTTATATTAAAAATATGTCATTTTAAAATATATGCTTTATTTATTAAATAAGAAGTTTAAAAATATACTATGTAAGAACATACTTAGAGAAGAAGATGGCAGAGGTGATGTTAGTTGTTACTTATATAAATATAATTTTTCTCGTAAAAAAAATATAATTTTATTTCTTACATATAAATGAAAGTGAGTGAAGCTTACTTTTTCTTTCTTTCTCTCTTTTCTTCTCCTAGGACCTAACTGCTTCATGTATATTTAGTAGAAACATGAATTCCTAAATATAATTGCATTTTTTGTGTGTATATAAATCATATTTTGTCAACATAAGTCTTAAGGTATATATTTAAAAAAAAAAAATATTTATGATTCATTATTAGTTTACTTAAAGATAAAAGTATTACATTTTATTTATTTCAAGGTATTATAGTTATTACCTTTTGACCCATACATTCGTTATAAACAATCTTATGAAATATCATGTTAGCAAATTTCTCTAAATAGGGTTCTGTTTCTGACAAAGTGAGTGGGGATATTCAAAACCCTTCTTTCATTTAATTATGATATGTACCAATTGCCACTGTACTACTATTAGGAGTACATGCAAGATAGGGGAAAGTTATCTTCCATTACAACTTTTTGAACAAAGAGATTCTTGATATGGAAAAAATGCAGCAGAAAAGGGTCCTTTCCAATGGTTGGGCCTGACTAACTTGACCCACCATCTGTAATTTCAACTTTGAACCATTGAAATTGAATCCACCATAATTATTCACCCACTTGGCCCCCCCATCGTCCTTGCATAACTTATAGTTAATGGTTTTTATTAAGATGGATTGAGTTTTATAGAGAATATATGAACCACTTTCTAGATAAACTCTTATAGGATCCTAGCTTGTTTTAGATATGTATGATTAAGAATTATATATTGGTTTTATAATTCTCATTCAACGTGAGAATTAAAATTTTTTTACACACCCTTCGATTTTCGTGCTGACATGGATCCTACATATAATTTTTTCTAACACATGAGTCTCACATGCTTTTTATCTCTACAACATGAGAATTGAATTCTCATTCAACATGAGAAAATCAAACCCCATTATATATATAGCATTATTCCTTTTCCAAAGTTTTGAGGCAACATGAAGAAATAGCCTAATCATAGCATATACTATTAGAAAAGACAACATGCGAAGAATATTATGCACGTAAGCAATTTATATAAGTCTGCTATGAAGTGACAATGTTTTTTTTCATGTTAGTTTTATTTCAAGATTTTTGTCTTGATAAGGAAATTTTGGTTGGTGTCTCGTTGGCATTTCTATAAAAAAATATTTGGAAATGATGAATGTATTTGAATATCAGCATTTGTCGTATAACATCTCTACCACCAAGAGTGTTGCGTTTTCTTTTGACATAAAGTATAATGGACTTTTGAGCAAGATCTTATGCAAAATTACGAAAGATCTAAAGAAGATATTCAAACTTTTGTGCTACAAAAGAAGAAAGAAACATGAATTCTAAAACAAATGAAATTTGATCAATAACCATTGATAAACTTGTTTTCGTTAATGAAAAGTCTTCAATTTAAGTATGAAGAACAGATAAAATGATATTGGGAGAATTATCCCAATATGATGGCCCTTGCTTGTTTTCTAATTCAGAAGGTTTTTAAATGGTTAGTTATGTAAAATGGTTGGTTTCCTCCCTAATTGTTGGCTTTGGCACTGGCTTCCTCTATTATTGGCTAATTTTTGGCTCAAACTTTTTTATTTTTCTGACTCCGCCAGCGGTGGGAGAATCATCCCAATATGAATCTATTAGTGCTAGAACATGTTTAAATCAACTTGAATAAAAATAAATAAATTCAACATTGCATTTGATTTGAATGCTTTATATTTTGTTCTATATTAAAGATAAAGATGTCTAGTCAAATATTAATGAATTTATTTTGAATTTAAGGGCTATCTTAGGTATCTATGGAGGATATATCTTTGAGGTAGGTAGATTAATGTACACAAGAAAAGAAAGTTGTAGCCAAAGGGGTGGTTTGTAAGTTTTGAGGTTGAATTGGTTCTTTACATGGTATAAAAGCATCGATGTTCTGGGTTCGATTCCCGTCGCTCCCCATTTTCTTTATGGAATTTCTTAGCACAGGTAGGCTGGGCTTAAGTATCATCCACCTTTCAAATATAATGGGCTCTCTTGTGAGAGAAAATGTTAGAGATATATAAATTATTAATGTAGTCTCACCCAACAACTTAAATTTTTGGGTTGACAATAAGTAGAGAGAGATTTTATTTCTTGTTTATAGAGTTTAGTTGTGTCTAGTGAAATTTTGAACCTTTAGTAACTTTTTGGAAGTCCAATACTTGATCCATTGTTGTCACAGTAGAATTAACATCAATTAAGAATTTTTTTTCTTAATTTTTCTTAGTTTTCTTTTTATTGTTGCCCTTTTTCGACCTTATGAAAAATGGGCTAGGCCCATAACATATTTATTATCCTAAATATTTTCGAAAATGAAATAATAAGAAGGATGAAAAGAAAAGCTAATATATTGAAGACGAAAATTTTGAGTAATTAACAAGTGACTAACCATGCCAAAATAATAATTTAGCTTGAGCATAAGAAAATTTTCTTTTTTCCTTTCCAATATTCCCTTACGTGATCAAGTTTAGTTTTCTTGGAAAAGATAACAAGAAAATTTGAAAGATAAAGGAATAGAAAAATCGAATGGCACAGAAAATGACATCACAGTGTCAAACATTTGCGTGCGCTGCTGTTGAGTTCCCCATGTGGCAAGAAATTTGCATTTTAAAGGGTCCCTCTGTTGAACATAACTTTCACAGTCACACGCACAAATAAAAGAAACTCCACAACCTCACGCCTTTACACTATAGTACAAAAGCCTCAAAATTCTCAAGCCCTTCATTTCATTCTTGTTTTTCACACCCTTCTTCCTCTTGAAATGGCTCAGGTACTTATTTTCATATATACCCTCTTCTCTGTATAACTCTTTTTGATTCCTTATGCACATGTTCATCCTTGTTTTGCTATATACTTATATGTATGATTCAGAGAAATAATTTAAAAAATCATTTATTTACTAATTTTATTTATCATTCACTGGATCCATAGCAGAAGGTTGTGTTAAAGGTTTTGACTATGACTGATGACAAAACAAAACAGAAAGCTATTGAAGCAGCTGCAGATATCTATGGTGGGTTGTTCACAAAAGATCAAATTTTTTAACTTGAATTCATGTTAATGGGAAACATGTTATGTAACTAGAGACTGATCTGTTTAATTGTTGGTGCTTTGATCAATAGGGGTTGATTCAATTGTTGCAGATATGAAGGATCAAAAGTTGACAGTGATTGGTCAAATGGACACAGTGAAAATTGTGAAGAAGCTGAAGAAAGTTGGGAAGGTAGATATAGTATCAGTTGGACCTGCCAAGGAAGAGAAGAAAGAAGAAAAGAAAGAAGAAAAAAAGGAAGAGAAGAAAGAAGAGAAAAAGCCAGAGAAGAAAGAGGAAAAGAAAGAGGAGAAAAAATAAAGAGAATGCTTATCACTGGTTTTTTCAAATTCTTCCCCTTTTTTTTTTTCTCTGTGTTTTGCATATTTTCCTATTTATATTGAGAAGTTACTGTAAGCTGCAAAAATTGTCCATAGATCGAATCTGTTGCTCACAATCTTTTTTAAGCATGGATCAATTTCAATTGCCATGATGGAAATGAGTTATAAAAGAATATCCAAAAAAAAAACTAACCATTGGATAGAGAAACTATGGTAATTGGTATGCTTTAAATTTTTTATTTTATAGTAATATCGTTTGTCCAAATGATTTTAATCTTCTCTTTATTGATTCCAATATTTTTTTTTTCATCTTTTGTTTTATTATGTGAATGGATCTTATGACTGGTAAAAATCGATGCCTTTTGTTTGTGCTTGTGACTTGTTACAGAATTTGGGGGTGTGTAAGAGAATACCAAGAAACTTTTGGTGTCATGAAATTCCTCTTATTCGTTTGTGGGTCATTTTCTCCTAGTTCAATGGCACCAAAGTCGAAAAGGTTAGCAGATCCATCCTTCCAAATAAAAGAATTTATGTGCAGACGAAAATGGTTTTCAATTCATTCTTGTGAGAGTGAAAGGAGATGGCTCGGGCCCAAGATTGTTAGACAAGTACAACATTTAAGAGAAAATTACTATATATTATCATGGTAGCTCAGTTGGCGCCAGAAAATTGAGCAGGTGAATATGAGAGCATGTGTTCGATTCTTCCTAATACCAAGTCTTAATTTTGGGACCCGCTCCAAATCGAATTAGTCGCGAAGCAATGAATCTATTGAAATATCTCCAGAAAAAAAAATACTATAGATATGAATTATATTGATTTTTCTTTTTCTTTTTTTAAAATTAAATTCCCTATTTTTTAGAAAAAAATTGTATTGTATATTAATATATTTTAATGTAAATAAACCTTTAGCAGTTATTTTTTTAACACTCTTATTATTGGTTTTAAAGTTTTAAAGTTTTGAACATTTCATGTGATCCATAAAAAAATTATTGTGTTGGGAGTTACAAAGAAAAAAGATTGTCTCTTAGAAATTCGTTAACATTAAAATGGATTGATGATGTAATATATATTCAGGAAGAAAGTGTAATGTTTAAAATAAAAAAGGAGAATACAATTTAAATATCTATCAAAGAAAATATTATAATTTATCCTTAAGTTAATCATTTTCTTTAGTCATTTGATTAGGTTCGACTTTAAATGATACATTACATTCTCTGACACTCTTTTCTAAGCTATTGATTAGAAGTCTTATATTACCATATTTTGGGACACAACCATGTGATTATTTCAGCATTTCTACATGGCGTGTCTTTTATTAATCTAAATTTTTGTCCAAAAATAATAAAGTAAAATAATGTCTAATCAATTTTATACAATGTTGAAGAATTTAAATTTATGACATCATTAGGCATGGAAACAGGCGAGGTTAGATCAGGTTTCATCTTAAATAGAAGTGATAAGTTCTTTGAACATAATGCTTGAACATGACATTTGATTTTTTTTAGGCTTGACCTAATTTTTTTTAAATTTTCGCATGAGATTTTAAAATTAACATGTTTGGTTTTGCGCAAAACATAGCTGAGGCTTTTGTCCAAACCATGGTTTGAGACTTCGCAAATACAAAACCGAACATACACTAAATAGGGTAGGGAGCCAATAGGTTTGGCTTTAAAAGGAGTTCATTTTTAGTGATCCGGGAACTTGTGATCCCTTTTTACAAATAGGAGGAAAAAAGAATTGGAAGGAAATTCAGAAGGAATACAAGGATATAAATAAAAAAAACATTTTTTTTTTTATAAAGGATCACCAAATATGATTGTGATCCGAGAACATATTAAAAAAATCCTTTAAAAGATACATTTCTGGCATCAATTCTTACAAAGCAATGTTTACGATCCAATATTATTATCCTTCTTGTCAAGCCAACATATTTTGGGTCATCATATTAGCTCATTGATCAATCAGGGATATTTTCACCCATCACCCAACACACACACACACCCCCAGTTTTGGGGTTTGGTGGGAAACCTTAACATCCTCCTTCTTGCCAAATTCTCTCTCTTTTTATTTTATTTTTTTCTTTATAAAAAACGGGTCAACTAGTAGTCATGATATTAATTATATGTGAAGTACTAGGGCCCTTGTGACTTGCAAGTTCTTGTTTATATGTGATGATTTTGTGAAATCCAAGGGGCCATTCCGTTGTGACTCGTGAATTCTAGCATGGAATTGGCAGTGATATTGCGCTTGATATGGTCAAATATATTTATAACAGAATGAATCGGTCAAATCTCTTTATAATGTTGGATTTACATCAAGATTGAATCTAGACATGAATGAAGCCTGCAATAAATTGGAACGAGAAATTCCATTGGTAGTTTTGGCACCAAAGCCTGCAATGAGCATGCCCATTACGGAACCCCAACAGTTTGTGCTTTAATTGCATTGATCAATTTGTCTTACTAGCCGTTCCATGACTCGATTGTACGCGTATAGGAATGCCACCCTGTGGACACTGGACACTAAAAGTATGCAAGTGGCCAATTAAATGAAGAATAAGACACAACATTCATCAAAATAATTAAATATGAAAAAAAAATATACAACCAAGTGGAAATGACCAAGATGAACCTAATGATGCAATACAATCTAAGAAAGGTATCAGAGGGGTAAAAAAAAAGTTTGGGTTTTGGGATGAATGCCAAAAGCAACAGAATGAAACATAGGGGCATGATTAGTAAACATCATTTTAGTATACGTTTGGATTAGGATGAAAATCATTGTTCAAAAATAATTTATTTATATTTGGGAATGATATTTATTTTTAGGGTTTAATCTCTCTAATTTTGTAAGAAATAAAATTATTTTCTACACACATAAAAAAGTTTAAGGCTCATTTTTTTTTTCTCTCTCTTCTCTTCTCTTCACATGACCCCACATAAGCTGGCTTTTTGACCATTGTAGCCCTTTATTAATAAATAATTACCAAATTACCCTTGATTAGAAACTATTTCGAAAAATTAACCCTTCTAAAAAACATAACATCAATCTGCCCCTTTTTTTTGAAACCTACCCGGGTATTTTTTGAAAATTCAATTCTACCGGGATATAGAGGGAGATACCCGGGTATTGTTCTTAAATTTGAAAAAAAACTTGAATTATTTACCCGGGTAGGGAGGGCGATACCCGGGTAGATGTCGGTCAGAAACCCCAATATCAAGGGTTTCGGCCATTGTTGCGAGTTAAAGTTTTTTTTTCCCCAAATCTCTCTCCCTTATGTAACACCCCGTATATATCCGGTAATGTTATCATAATATCGTATTAAGCTGCGCTTAATTAAAAATGCGAAATTACTTTTTCTTTTCAATTATGATGCCATTAACATTACCAGCTTGCTTAATAATCAATTAATAGAACATCGCCTGTATGTAATTGCAATAAAACAGCTAACTGAAATACCTCATAACATAGATAATATAAGTGTGGCTCTAGTCGCGGAACTACAACAATGTAGACCGGACCATCTAACAGTTTATACAACTCTAATCTAAAAAGTACTAACAGAGAGTGTCATGGACAATCCCTATGCTCACTCAAATAAGGCAACATGCCCAACATCAGTCTCAACAACAACATAATGATAAAAGGCATAAAACATAATCAGCATCAATATCCAGTCATGCTAACAAATAAGCAGAAACAACATAATCAGCTAAGCTTCGGCCTCCTGTCGCCTGAGGCATCAGTACCCATACTACCTGATCCTGAAATAAGCATTCCCCAAACGTGGGGTAAGATCTCTAATCTAGAATCTCAGTAAGTCAGTGAGTCCTCAAGGATCTTCCACCCCAAGCTCACTTACATGTGCAATATAAGTTCAAAAGCAGTTTATCATTTATCATTTCTAAAACAATGCAATGCAGCAGATAATCATGTCATGTGTGTCAATACTAATCTACTGGCCAGAGACAGTGCAGGTATACGTCTATCACCTACACACCGTGCAAGTACCACTTGCATTCACCCCGGTACACCGTCTTGTATGGCGCTACATACTCAGGCTTCCCGTCAAGATGAAACAACACATGCATATTAAAAGCCATTACATGTAAAGTTCAATCAACATATCAAATATCCAAAAGCATGTACACAGCATGCATAAACCATACCCCCATGGGACATGGTGGAACCACAACATGGCTAAACCGAGGACACGAAAGCTTACCTCTAAGCTAGCTATCCAAAAGCCAAGAGTCCACAGCTCAAAGTCCAATCACAGCAGATTCACAATCTGTTATGGACCAATACTATATCAATAATATGTACCACATGCATACGAATTAAAGACAACGCCTTTTCATTACGCTTTATGTCTTAAGGCTTCTCACCAAGCCATAAGCCCTTAATCACTTGATTCTGACTTAGTTCATTAATTCCAGAAGTTCCATTTCATCAATCTAGGGTCCACAAACCCCCAATAGCCTACTGTACGCACAACACAGCTACTATTCTACGAAATCCCAGAATATCCGGATATTCCTCAGAACCATATCCGGATATGCAATATCCGGATATCTCACTGGACATATCCGGATATGCACTATCCGGATATCCAGAATCCCATATCCGGATATCTGATATCCGGATACTCAAAACCCATATCTGGATATCACATATCCGGATATTCCTCGGGCACATCTCTGGATATTTCACGACAGAATGCAGAAGATACATTTCGTGAAGATATCCATCCAAGGTTGGGTTTTTAACGATTTAAAGCACCTAAACATGCATTTCTAGGTGTGTTCAACATTACCCAACAACAAGTTATCATCTTTAAGCCTTAACATGCATCAAGCTTTCATTTTTAAGCATTAAACTCATGATCAAAGGTTGGTACACATACCCCAGCTCAAAACAGAAGAAGAGGTTGCTCTTTGGAACTCACAATCAGCCCCTCAAGACTGACTCAACAAGGTGCACGAAAATGGACCAACAAGATGAGTCATTTCCTCACCAAGGAAGCTACTTGGAGCTCTAAACCACCAAGAACAAGATGACTCTCCTCCAAACTCTCCAACTCAGAGCAAGAACCTCACAAACAGCAACTCATAAACTCAGAAAGATGACTCTTTTATGCTCACAAGACTCACACCCTCAAGACCAAGTGTTTAGGAAGAGGTAACATGGAGGTAGAAGATCACAAGGCTCACACAAGGGAAGAGAGCACCAACACAGAGTAAAAATGATCAGCCACCACAAGACACTCACGCATAGAGACAGTTTTCTAGGGTTATGTGCCCTTAAAAGGGTATTTATAGCCCAAACGCACTTAAACACACAGTATTAAATTTAATTGCTACGCTTAACATTTTAATCCCAAACTTTGGAATCTGAAACTACATATTTTTCCAAGAATTATCATATTTTTCTTATAATTTTCTGAGCACTTTTCCGGTACGCGCTTTTCCAAGCCAGTACCGGTTTCTAGCACCAGTTCTCATTATCTGGACTTGAAACTCGTTTTAAAAGTCCTACATATTATTCTAGTAATTAAAATGCACTTACTTTAATTTTCCGGGACACTTTTTCGGTACTCATTTATACCGACTAGCAGAACCGGTATCTGCACTTTTCTTCCGAAAAGCGACTTTCAGCATTATTACTCACTTACTATAATTATTAAAGCCTCATAATAATTATTAGGGTCAATTATGGAATCATTTCCTAATTTTGCATAATTAATTAATTAAATACCTTAATTAACGGTGCGGGTTCTTACACCTTACATCTCTATTCCGAAACATCACACATATATTTCATCTCATCATCTCAAAAAGTT